AAAAATAGAATCCATCATAGGGCTCTGTTTGTTGGACGAGAGATATCTGCTGGATACAGGCGGCAATATTATGCTTGAATGAGGCAAAAACTGTCAGATCTAGTGGCTGTGTCTTCCCACTCGTGTGTGAAGGTGGACAGTAGGCAACCACATTCCCATTTCGTAAAATCGTCAAATCTTTAAGGCTCATGTGGCTGCGGTAACTGTCATACAAGAGCAAAACTTTTCGTCCTTGCCTGGTAAGGTGAGAAATGTCTTGCACGAACATCTCTGCCCACCGCGCGAAATCAGATTTATCTACGCCTGCCAATTCTTCTCTTTTAGTGACCAACGCGTTGCGGAGAAGGCAATCTGCGACTGACTGCTTCAAAAGTCCTTCATTACTCTCAATCTCTCTATGCAGAATTCTGGTACCTTTAAAAATAAACAAAGGTCTTCCTGTTGCCCCAGATGCAAAAATGACGGGCATGATCGTTACTCTTGACACGTTCTTGAACGTTGGAATGCGAATAGGCAGCGGGGGCGGTGGCAGGCCGGCTGGCGGTGGCGGGTGGCGCGCGTGGAGGAGTGGTGAAACTGCTGGGCAGGGAGGATGAATAGGGATTGCATTGCCAGTGAGTAATGCGGGGAGTAGTGTGGCAGTGATTTGGTCCCTGGGCGCGGGGGAGATAATACACATGGGAGGATGGGATGGGAAGCGCACGGCAGAGATTGCGAAAGGATGCTTCAGGTGCGAGGGGGACGGGAACGGACGAGAACGGACGAGAACGGACGAGAACGGAAGAGAAAGGACATAACCAATCACAGGGCGGCTGGGCGGTTGCTGGTCGATGGTGGCCCGGTCAGAGGGACGGTGTTCGTAGTGTGCAAGGTGGAGGGAGATGATTGGATGAGTCATTGCTTTGATCCGATGCTCGTGCGAGCAAGCTGCGAGCAGCTTTATTCTGCCTTGTGACTTTTTTATTCAATAAGACAACCTTAGTTGTCCGTAAAGTCACGAAAACGCGTGTTTTGGTGCCGTGTTTGCTCGGATTTATACGGATCTAAACGCGTCTGGTAAAACTCAGAGCAAAACTCAGAGCATACCGAAAACTGGGGGCATGTGAGTTTTCCACGTAAAAAGTTTCACAACCTGGACGACGGAACTTACTTTCAAATGTCGACGGGGCAAAGTCGCCTGTGCCTGTGCCATTCCTTCATCCGTCTCCAGTAACATCGTTTTCAACATCTGCATTTGCAGAGATGCTCAACTTGACAAAGTCCGATAACAACTGCGCCTTCATCTTATTTGTTCTAGACTGCATGCCGTTAGTCGACACAAACACAAAAACCAACTCAAAACAAAGCAAAAGAAGAGAATCCACAACCCTTCAACCCCTGACCAACTTGTATCACCATCTCAACTGCGAAGTTGAGATAATGATACAAGTTGGGTGATTTGCTGGGAAATAAAAGGAAACAGGCCTACCGTAAGCTCATCAGACTTGTATATCTCCCCGTATACCTTACTTAGCTCGCTGACAAAACGAATGTCCGCTGCCACTGGTCCATCTCCATGCCATGTGCATGTCTATCATAGATGATAGATGACGTCTATAGAATCGAGGCGTACGCCTAGATTCACATTCAAGTAATAGCTGATTTTCATGCAATCTTCCAGAAGCGCAGGTGATGCAAGGTTTGAAACAATCGCCTATGCACCCGAAAACATTGAAAGAGGGCGTGGAAAGGAAGGATCTCACAGCCAACCACTGTACGAAATCACGATGTGCATGTGCCGGAGAGGCATCTCGAAGACACGAATCTAATGATAATGTAATGATGATATGATAGTGATAAGAGAGCAATGGTAGCGGGCCACACTGTATGCCATAGATTACGTGTGAGGGAAAAAATGAGAGATTTCTAATTGCAATTTTTGCAATTGCCCTCTGATCAAGAAAGCGATCCAAACGCAACTCGCTCGAAACCCGACACTGAATCGTAAATGCCACAGCCAATACGCGTACCACACGTGAAAAGGATGGGACGCTTCGCAGTCACTGCACAAGTCTCCAAATTTGCACTTGCTTGGCACATCGCCCAGATGTACAATAGAAACACCGACGTGTCTATTGTTCTCCCATTCCTCCCGCCCCCCCCCCCCCCCCCCACCCCGCCCCCAACCACCCC